GTTGGATAAAATAAAAGTCGGTGGCGACTCTTGCTTACCGTGACATTTTGCGAAAACAAACGCAAAACGCAAACCAGCATTCTAAAAAACAGTAAGTTCTTTCCCACCGTATCACACCACCTATTTCTTTTCTGCAAATATTTATGGAGGCTAATGTATATCCCCGATCCAATAAGTATATGGAGAATATCCACACCAATGCACCTTTATCTGAGGTCCCACATAAAAAAAGAAAATTTGAGCACCACGAAACTAGGGAAATCATTAGCATCAAGAAGGGAAGGTTAACATTCGAAATGGTAGATGAGATAACTAAGCCCAAAATTGAAAAGTTGATACCCAGGATAGATCCTAAACCACCACCACAAGTTCAAAAGAATGAACCACCCCACAGAAGAAAGAAAAGAAAAGGTGAGGGATATGTGAGATGGCTTGATAAGTGGCTATGGAAACCAAAGACGATTAGAAATTCGATCGAGGAGTCATTCTCGAGAGAATCACCATGAGTGCTGACACTCTTGAGTCGTCGAGCTACTGACGTTAAAAGAAACGTTGAGTGGGAGGCAACCCACAAGTTTTTATTTAATATTCTTGTTTTTGTTTGAGTTTGCATAAAATAAAGATATCAATCTCTTGGCACCTATCAGTTGCATGCAGGCAACTACCGAGACGAGTATTGATCATGTTCTTATTCCTCTTCCCACTTTTTACTGAAACATTGAGGACAATGTTTGCTTTAAGTGTGGGGGAGGAAATTTACCGCTTTCCATTTATCGCTTCTTATTTTGATTTATTGTTTTCTAGTTTATTGCATGTTTCTAGGATTTTATTTGTTTTCAGTATTTGGCCGAGTCATTGCATGTGATGTCGAGTTTGTATGCCTATTTTTCAATTGTTATTAAATTTCTCCAAAATTTTAAATTTTTTAACTTCCAACAACAAATTTTATTTTCTAATGCATGGCACACACTCTGAAAGTATATAGGTTGTCAAAATTTAGGCTGCGATTGAGAGACTTGGGTAAGTCTCAATAACATCGATACCATTATGACACCCTAAACCCCCTCATTATATGATATCGATTTGGGTACCCATTATGCTGAAACCTTAGGCTCAAGTTTTCAAAATAGCTCTTAAGTAGTTTATATTAGTAGTCAACACCATCTTAAACACAAACTACGTAGAGAGTCGATGAATATAAGTGAATGATCCCAAAATTCTAAAAATTAGTTGGCATAATAAATTTAAAATAGGGAATGCACCTAGTAAGTTAGGTGACCCTCACCCGGTCACTTAATCCAACGGTTGTGGAACCTACAAAAATATAATAAAACAACCCGCCGTCAGTTGGTTCAGAGGTGTCTGGTGCTGAACTTGATAGGGAGAACTACGGTCCGATCCACTGCAATTGAGATTGGTTAAATAAAAGGGGTAACCAAACTTATGTACCAGAACCTCGAGACAAAAGATCATAGTTGTTAACTGGTTTCCCTATTATGTGCATGTATAGATAACGAGCTTAATGTGATTGCACTTGAATGAATAAAGTGAAATAAAAATGAGAGATATGGGTTGAGTTATAATGGCATGATTCAAATTAGTTTGTATAAAGAGGGAGTCTTTTAACATTGTGTCGTTACGATGTCCTTGATATTGAACATTTGGTACCTATCGATCTAACATTAGCCTAGCAGCCACGTATGATTAGGAGTTGTGTCGTGCCCTTGTTTCAAATTACGCTTAATCATTTCTTTTACAATGCTGGTTGATTGATTGAGGACAAGAAATAGTTTGAGTGTGGGGGAGTTTGATAACACGAAAACACATTGCATATTCGGCTCGATTAGCATAAATAATGTTACCATTTTCTATTAATTATGTTACATTATGTTGGTATTTTAAGTGTGCTTCATGTATTTACATTCCACATGGACTTGCATTAGAGAAGAGGAAGAAATGACAAAAAAAATAACTTTGCAATAGAAAACAACAAAAAATTCATGACAGAGGACTGTGGCGGTCGTCACAGCTTCCTGTCGGTCGCCACGCCTTAGAATTATGTGTGCCCCTCGACACACATCTGTCACGATCGCCACAATTTTAAACCATGTGTGTCGTGGGGCACACAAGGCATGCCCCTCGCTATAGTCTGTATGTGGTTCTCTCCACGTCTGTAACCAAAAGCTCCTATATTCTCTCAACCGCAACTGAGATTGTATTAGGCTCCACTCCATGATAACCACATCCCTGATTATTTGGAGAAGCCGAGTCTTTCGGTTACCGGCGACTCCTAAGTCTTCTCCAACGGAAGTTACAAGTAGGCTATAAAAAAGAAGTAACCAGACAACGCCATGGGCCACCATTTCTCGTGCAGAGCAGATTATTATTCTTAGTTCTTAGACAGAAAGAGTTTACCATGTAAAAGTGGTAGTTTCTCACATCGAGGAACTACCACACCATTAGTCTTAGATGCTATTTTTTATTTCAGTTATATACCTGATTGTCAAGTGTGTCAGCATATTATGAATTCAGTTTCTGTTATTGTACACAAAGAGAATTTTAGAATTTAACTCCAGTTTCGTTTATTTCTGCTGTTACAAATTTCTGTTTATCGCATTTCTTATTTCAATTGTTTCGTTTGTTTAATTTAATTACCATGTTATTCTTAGTTGCAATTGTTATATTTAATTTGTTTACACTTAATTTCATGTCTAGTTAAATTATTTAGAGTTCGGTATATGATGACCGTCGTCTCCGACGAGAATCGGTAACGACTTTTGGCTTAATATTTAATTTAGAAATTATGTTTTGGTCTTTGTTTTTAAACTTAATTTAAATAGCCTTGTCACGAGAGTGAAAAGTTATTTAACACGATTTTTTCATGAGAGTGAGAAATTAACTAAGGTTCGAGCCGACACTGCGAGAGCGTGGGAATCGAACCAGATAGTAAAAATAAGACATTGATTCCTAAACACAACGAGATCGCTTTAGGGATCAATTAGAACTTGTTTAGTTTTCAAAATGTGTTGCTTGATTCAAGTGGGCGAGCGAGAGAAAAATCTCATGGTTAAAGAACATGACTTTATTCAAAATCACGAGACTGAGGTATTGTCTTTAAATTAACATTTTCTACGAAATACTTCTTTATAGTATAATTAAAAGCCAACGAGTTACAGAGTCCTTGAGATACGCAGAATACACATTTCAGACTCTCTTTTCTTATATATTTCCTTAATCTTATTTTATTTCAGTTTTAATTCTTAGTTTCCCTTAAGTCAATCATTCATTAGTTCTATCTTTACAAAACAATGATAAATTACAATATATTGACATTGGTCTACGTGGGTTCGAGAGTTTTTTATATTATTTTTTATATTTCCGTATCCTTGGATATGCATCAACTACTTAGATGACCTGTCACAACAGTGTAGCAATAAAAGATAGATTGTGGTGAGCTTTGACATGTTGGGGGATAATGCTTGTTGCTTCTACATGAGTAATGAATCTATGCAACATCTTTTGTTTGAATGCCATACCACTAAAAGTATTTGGGAACATGTCTTTACATTGGAAGGATGAGTTGCGTTGGATTCTTACTCATTGTCAAAGAAAAGGCTGGAAAAGCACATTGCGTAAGGGTGCTTCTACTGAAGCAGTGTATGAAATCTGGATGTACAAAAACCTCATTTATTTTAGTAACAAAGATAATAGTAATACAATAAGATATAAAGTTATAGATAACACTGTGTATATAAATTAAGCCAATATCAACTTTAGGCATTATATAGAAAAATTATTGATGCCTTAGTGATTTGGTTTTTTTATTTAATTTTTAATGATTGTGTTTTTTCTAGATCGTTTGATCGTTTGCTTTATAACGTTAAATAGTATGTATATTTATATGAGACACGAGACAAAAAATTTTAAATTAAAAAAATTATAATTACTTACGGTTTACAAATAAAATTATAGTAATATATAGAAAAATATTTTTTTATCAATAATATATTTTTTTTATAAAAATATCTTTATTACTTAAAAGATTAATTTCTTTAGTTTTATTCTTTTAATTTATTATAAAACAATTTTTTAATGTATAATGTTAATTTAAAAAAAAAGAATTTGTTTTAATATTTTTGTAACTTAGGGAAAAAATTTAATTATTAAATATATAATATCAATTAAAAAATTAAAACCAAAATCATTTGTGAAGTTAGCTCGAAATTATTGATGCACTCACGTACATTTTTCTTTCTCGTTTAAGTAATTTTTATTTATTTATTCTATTAATTATGCAAAGTTTAATGACATAACATCCATAAAGTGGTATGATATAGTTTATAGATATAATAATTTAACTAAACTTTCATAGCTATTTGTACACTCTATAGAGCTAAACTAAGGATTTTGAAAACGAAAAAGTGTCAATAAATAATATGTACTTGCATCAGAAGTAAATTCCCATCAATAAATAATAAATAATATGAAAAAACTATTAAATAAAATTTGAATAGTTAAATGTCCGTGATCTAAATAATTTATACTTTTTTTTATGATTAGCTATGTTTGATAAGGTTAAACCACTAACTCGCAGGGGACATTTTATATATTTTTTATGAGCAAAAAATTGTATTATTTTGTAAGGCACATATTTTATAGTGTAATATTTTAAAATAAATATTGTTTAATAATTTAAGTATAGTTTAATATTTTATAGTGTAATATTATTTTGTATAATTTTGTAAGGCAAATATTTTATAGTATAATAATTTAACAAAATTAATTTTATTGATTATTGTGTGTTTTACATTATCTTAAATAAAAATTAAAATAATAGGTTGGAAACAGTAAATATAATTATAAATAAAGAGCATAATTGAAAAGTAGAATTAATTTTAATTTGAAAAGTGATAATTACATTTATTTTAAAACATTTTTGTATAAAAGTGACACTAATTTCACTACAGAATGACTATATTTATTATATAATGTTTAACCTTTTAAAGACTTATCACAATATCAAATACTCTGTAGTGTGCACAATGGACGACATCAAATACTCTTGCAGGGAAGAGAAGCCTCTTTGTGTCCATCACAATAGATATAGCAGGAATTCCCCTTTCAAGTGCAAATTGTACATGAACTTCATGTTCATCTTTTAGTGCAAATGACATTGCAAGTACATCTCTTTGAAAGAGAAAGCCATCAAATCTGGCAACACCATATCCAACATCTAATATCGCATGTGTTTGTTTGCCCCAAGCAATATCGGTACGGACTATATTATCAACATTTATTATATTAAAGTAAAATACTCAGCAACATCAAGAAAATATATTATGTATCTGCAATTTAATAGCTTAGTGTGTGGAACATTTGAATTACATTGTCATTTCAATTGATAAACACATTAACCATTTCGAATCCGACCACAACCACACTCGCCGCTGAAAACGCACACATATAGAAACAAAGTCAAACAATTAAGTATGTAAGGCATGACATAGTAATTTATCACAACTAATATAATAAGACTTAATCTCACCTTAGAACATAATAAAAAGAATATAAGAGCACTAGCAATGTCATTTGAAATTGCTGCAAAAAGTACATAAGGGGAAAGCGCAAAGTTTGTGGAAGAATAGGTTTTAAGCAACTTATAAAGCTCTGGATCAATTCCTCCTATCTTCTAATGAAAAGAAAAAGATCATTAATTTATAATAAATCAGTAAAATAATTTCTTTTATAATAATACAACCTTAAAAGATACAACCAATCAACAGAAAGAAATACATCTTTTTCAAAGTTCAAAGTTCAAACACCTTCAATAATTTTCAAATTATCATGATACTAATATCAAAATGTGTTTAAATACAGAAACCATGATCTAATGACTGGAAAAACTAAAAATAATGATTCTTCTATCAAGTGTCAGTGAAAAAGATAGAACCTGTAGTAGCTCATTTATGTGAACAACCAATATGTTAGGATCTTGTTTGAGAATTCCTAGAATAGAGGTGTAAAAACATAGTAAAATTAATAAAGCAGTTTGCATTGTAGAATATGTTAGAATCCTTGGTGACAATGTCTCCGTTGTTGAAAGCACCACAAAGCAGCCTGCACTATATTAATTAATTTGTTAAAACTCAGTTGTATGAGCCGACTGCCAATAAACACTATGTTTACTCATGTTACTTACTTACTTGAAAGATCTAAAGTCGGAAGCTTGGGAAAGTTTCCAAGTTCCAGTGGTATTTTGCCTGAGATGTTGTTATTATGCAGTAACCTTCATTTACAGGAAAATCAATGTGAGTCTTTGACAATTTTGAGCATAGTCAATGGAAATCAAGCATATGCTTTTTGAAATTAAGGGAAAACACCATAAAGAGCAGTTTTGGACATAGAAGCCTTTCTATTGAACGTCCAATCTGCTAATTCAAGGAGTTGAAAATGGGAGGAGAAAGAGATGAAACCTTGTGAACATCAATGAGGGCTACGATTTGCAATATAAATATATATAATTTATAATTAATTTAATCACATATAGATAGAAGATACTATGTGAAATCTAATTGAGTCTGTTGAAATATGCCTGCTTACAAGGAAAGGGAGTTCCTTAACCAAAAACAAAATCAAAGGGAAAATCACTTCTGCTATACTCATCACCACCACTCTGGTAAAATGAGTGACAGAAAAGTATCTTACATTTATCGTCCATAAAGTAATCGTGTGTCCAAAATGCTAGTTTCTCCTTATGAGTAAGACCGATTAAGTTTACACATTCTGCAGAAGCAATGATTCTCATAAATATGCTACAAAAGCACTTGCCAATGTTGTCTAAAACTCTATTTGGTGCGCTATGAACTTCTAACACCTTATCATACGATGAAAAGTGGGTAATTTTGTTCTTTTTCATGATCTAATAATCTCTTCTCCAGCTGAACAATCAAAAAGCAAAATGAATGTTAAAATGACTTATGTATGCACAACATAATCACTTATTCTTCAAAAACACAACTTATTATAATGTATCTTGAGTTTGTAAACATGTTATATGTTATATATATGTACATCCAAATACATATGTACCTATTCTAGAAAGACAAATGACCCATTTCAGTATAGAATTCCCGATTAGCTTGTAACGAATACTTCACATAAACGATTGCAATTCTTCACCATCACACCATTGTATTTTGCAGACAAGTTCTCAATGAACTCTCGAATGTGGAACGTATCTAAGCTAGTGGTTCCCACACCATTACCTCTTCAAAAATCGCATACACCAAAAATCAGAAATAAGCAATAAACATAAATGATATCAGAATACATGGTTAACAAAAAATATGATTAACAGAGATGAAGAGTATACTACTCACGGTGGTCGTTCATAACGAATCGGTCAGAATTAAATATACGTAGTTGACGACGATGTTGTTTGAAACAAAACTCCAATCGGTACATTAGAAAAGCTGTGAAATGAGAAGTATAAATATAGCTATGTTTTTTTCATTGGAAGTGGTGGTGACTTTAGATATGGTGAAGAAAGAGGGGTGACGACAGTGTTAGGGTTTGGGTAGAAAAGAGAGAGAAAAGAGAAATTAGAACAGAGAGAGAGAAATGTGTAGGAAGGAGAATGGAAAAACATCTAAAAGAGAAGAAAGAACAGAGATAGAGAGAGTAAGGGAGACGAAAAATGCAGAGATAGAAAAAGAACATAGATAGAGGTGTACCTTAAAAATGCAAGTAATATATTGGAAAATAAAAAGGTGTACATTGAAAACAAATGAAATAATTATTAAAAACTTAAAAAATATGATATTTATATTATATATAAATCACACTTCCTCTATTTTTTTTAAATTATAAATGGTTTTGAAAAAAAATTATATATTAAATTATAAATCATTTTACAATATCGATGAATTATTACTAATATTTTTTTCTATTATACTCTTAAGTATTTCTTAAACTCTCTTCTTTCAATTTTCTAAATTTATCTTTCTCATATAATCAATGAAAGATAATTTTATAAAATCCTTTATAATTTTTATTTTTTATACAATAATTATTATTTTTTAATACATGTGAAAAATCAAAAACAATTTATAATAAAAAATAAAAGAAATAAATAATAACTAAATATTAAAAATAAAATTATAATTAATTATAGAAACTTTTCCACTAATAATAAAGTTAAAAATAATATAAACTCTAAAAATTTATCACTTGACAAATTTATCAAAGAACTCATTTTACTTTTATTATATTCTATGATACTAATTTCTATAAAAATTTATTATATTCTATAATCCTAATCTCTATAAGAATTGAATTTATAAATTCGTAATTTCGAATAAATAAAATACAGTGAAAAATTATAATTTTATTTCCGTACAAAAACATTTATTTTATTAAATAGATATAGTATAGAATCAAAAGAGATAGGAGAAAGGGTTTATAACTAACGTTTGAAGTTTTAAGATAAAGCGCCATGGATGCTGCGGTGGTTACCGGCGTAGCCATCGGTGTCGGACTATCCACTCCTCGCCGTCTCACACGTTTCTCCAAAAAAACTAACCGCCTCCATTCCTCCGTCTTCTCCGCCACCAGCAAATGGGCGGAGCGACTCATTTCCGATTTCCAATTCCTCGGCGACACCTCTTCATCATCTTCCTCGTCCCCCACCGCCGTTTCTCTCACTTCTTTCCCACCTCAACTCGACTCTCCTCCCATTGAACGCCACGTGTCACTCCCTCTCGACTTGTACAAAATTCTCGGCGCCGAAACGCATTTCCTCGGTGATGGCATTCGTAGGGCTTACGAGGCGAAATTCTCGAAGCCTCCTCAGTATGCTTTCAGCAACGAAGCTTTGATTAGCCGTCGCCAAATTCTTCAAGCCGCTTGCGAAACCCTAGCTGATCCTGCTTCCAGACGAGAGTACAATCAAAGCCTTGTTGATGATGACGAGGATTCTTCTATTCTCACTGACATTCCTTTTGACAAAGTAGCCTTTCAATTTCATTCAATTCAGTTCATTTTGGTTACGTTACCGTAGCAATGTTCTCATTTTTGAAATTGAATTTTCTGTGTTGTAGGTTCCTGGAGCTCTTTGTGTGTTGCAGGAAGCTGGAGAGGTGGAATTAGTGCTTAGGATTGGTGGGGGTTTACTAAAAGAGAGGTTGCCGAAGACGTTTAAGCAAGATGTTGTGTTGGCTATGGCGCTTGCTTATGTTGATATTTCAAGGGATGCCATGGCTCTGTCCCCATCAGATTTCATTGTCGCTTGTGAGATGCTCGAGAGGGCATTGAAGCTTTTGCAGGTGAGTCATACTACCTCGTCTCACGCCTATAATAATGTAATTTACTATCACTAAAACCCTGTTTGATTTAGGTTATTGGATATGAAAAATATTTACTTGCTTTTAGATGATTGATTGATTGAATATTGATTGATTGAATATATATACACTAGCAAGCAGTGTTGTCTATGGCGGATTGCAGAAAATTGCGGCGAGCCAGAAATCCGCCATAAAAATATGGCGGATGGCGGAATGGAAAATTGCGGAAGCATGGCGGACAAACAAAAAACATTATTTATACTCACAAAAAAACTGTAATAGCATCAAAAAATCAAAAATCAGAAGTCATAAAAATTAGATAACAAAGTTATATATGGAGGAAATTAGAATTCATATATATGGTAAATAAAATAGATGTGGCATGTCTTAACTACCTCAAAATATTTTATTCATAAAAGACATCATAAAACAGAACTATAAAACTATTGAATCTCTAATCTTCTTCTCTAGCTTCAACATAATCTTCTTTAAAGCTATTTGGCATGAGCATTTGGTGCAAGCTTGAACATTGCACTTCTTTCCCATTAGACGGTCTTTGGCTCTTGTTATTCCACCCTTAATCAATTTTGTGCAAAAAAATATAGCAAGTAGAGTTTATATCTCCGTTAACTATATGTATATATTTTGATCTAGGGTCACTTCTCTTTGAACTGCCAACCCTAGAGGTTAGGGAGGTTTCTTGATTTTCAGGCATTGTCTAAAACTACACGGTAGAAAATAAAATAAAAAGAGAGCACTTAAAAGAGATAAATACAACACTAAAAAACAGAGTAGGAGAAAAATAAAAGGTAGAACCAACAAAGTAGAACAAAAAAGAGAGAAGTGTGGGAAGGAATAAAAATGAAAAGAAATAAAAAATAAGAGAGAAAAAAAACTGAAGAAGAAGAGTACCTGACAGTTGTGTAAGAAAATAAGAGAAACAGATGGAGAAGAAAAATCTGTGGAGAAGCGGGAGAAGAGAAGAGAGAATGAGGGAGAAGAGTCTGTGGAGAATGGAAAGGTTGTAGGGTTTTGGTTTTATAAATATTTAATTAGAGTATACAATGGAGGTTATTAGTATTTAACCACAGTTATAGTTCTTTTGGGCCTGTTTACTGGTCGGGTAAAAAAGTACCAAACAAGAATTTTAAAAATTTTGAAAAAAACGCAATTTCCGCCATGCATGTTAAACTCGTGGCGGCCGCCATGGCGCCGCAATGCAAAATCCGCAACGCCATGGCTTTTCCATGGCGCTATGTTGAAAATCCGCAACCGCAATCCGCCATGGCCGCAATTTGACAACACTGCTAGCAAGTATAACAAACTGTGACTAATAGTTTGACATCTTAGCATATTGTGACTAATAGTTTGACAGCTCACCATATTGTGACTAATAGTTTGACAGCTCAGCATATTAGATACAATAGAATAGAAGCCTATAACATAATATATATATCTCTAACATTCCCCCTTAGAAACTAAGGGTGCTTCAATCAAACTTCTTTAGTTGAACACTCTTACTTTATCACGAAGTGGAAGGAATTTTGCTGCAGAGAGAGGTTTTGTCAAAGCATCTGCCCACTGATCTTGGGCAGACACATGAGACACAGTGAGGCTTCTGTTGAGGACTTTTTCTCTCACAAAGAAAGTGTCCAGCTCCATGTGCTTTGTCCTGTTATGGAGAACAGGATTATGGGCCAAAGTGACCGTGCTGAGGTTATCACACATGATTTTAGGAGTCTGAAACTGACATTGAAGTTCAGTGAGGAGAGACTGAATCCACATCATTTCTGCAGCCAATTGAGCCATGCTTCTATACTCTGCTTCTGCACTGGATCTTGCCACGAGTTGCTGCTTCTTTGACCACCATGAAATCAGATTTTGACCTAAAAACACACAAGCCCCAGATGTTGATCTTCTGTCACCAGGGTCTGCTACCCAGTCAGCATCACAGAAGTCCAGGAGAGACAAAGGCTGATGCCTGAGAGCAGGTTGTAGAAGTAAATCCATAATGAAGTGTACCACTTAGATACCTTAGGATTCTTTTCACTGCTTCCAGTGCTCCTCCTGAGGGTTAGACAAAAATTGACACACTTTGTTAACAGAAAACGATAGCTCAGGCCTAGTTAATGTTGCATATTGAAGAGCACCAACAATGGAGCGAAATTGGGTGGGATCTGAAACTGTGTCAGAGCCAACTTTGGACAGTTTGCTGCCAGATATCATGGGAGTTGGCATTCCATTAGTAGTAGACATGTTAACCTTTGCAAGCAAGTTAGTCACATATTTAGTTTGAGAAAGAAGTAATGATCCATTAGAGAGATGTGTCACTTCAATGCCTAGAAAATAGTCCAGTTGTCCTAGGTCCTTGAGAGCAAACTTGGTGTTGAGACTTTTGATAAGATTAACAATGAAAGGGAGGTGAATTTCCAGTGATGATGATGTCATCCACATAAACCAGTACCATAATAGTGAGGCTGCTAGTGCGGAGAAAAAACAAGCTAGAATCACACTTGCTAGCCTTAAAACCATGCTGCACTAGGGAGCTTTTGAGCCTATCAAACCAGGCCCTGGGGGCCTGTTTTAGCCCATACAAAGCTTTGTTGAGCCTGCAAACAAGTGACATGTCAGTAGCTTCAAACCCAAGGGGTTGGATCATATATACCTCTTCCTCAAGAAGCCCATTGAGAAAGGCATTGTTAACATCTATTTGCTTGATGTTCCACCTATTTGTGACTGCAAGGGTGAGTACAGTCCTGACAGTAACAGGCTTAACAACCGGAGAAAATCTCTCAGTGAAATCACTTCCTGCCTTTTGATGAAATCCTTTGGCAACTAGCCTTGCCTTATACCTGTTGATTGAGTCATCAGGGTTCTCCTTTACCCGAAAGACCCTTTTGCAGCCTATGGGCTTTTTTGTATCAGATGGAGACACCAAGGTCCACGTCTGATTTTTCAAAAGTGCTTGATATGCTTCCTGCATTGCTTGAAACCAGTGAGTGGAGGCCAAAGGCTGCTTAACAGTTGTAGGTTTCATACGGGTGAGTAAAAGGGTGGGATGAATTCTGGGTTGGACAATCCCACTCTTGGCTCGAGTTTTCATTGGATGAACATTAAGAGGATTGAGAATATGAGGAATGGGAACAGGACTGAAAGTAGGAGTAGAATTGGCTGCAGAATTAGAACCAGAACTGTCCGGATTAACAGAACCTGGTGAGGAAGATGGTGAGATGGTGCTGGCTTCAGCTAAGTCAGAAAAGGCAGGATTGGGTGAAGGAGAGTGAGACTGAGATATATTAGGTTGGCCTGAGAGAGATAAAGGGCTTGTTAGATGTGAGTTTGCATTGGCTGCAGCTGAAGACTGAGCAAGAGTAGGTTAAAACTGCCTGTTAGTGGAAGAGGCAATGGGACTGACATGTTGTAGAGGAGTAACACGGCAAGTGGGAATAATGGTTGGAGAGGCAGCAGATGGGAGCCAGGACATGTCAGAGGGAGAGCTAGAGGAAGTAGAAGGATGGAAGAGGTCCAGATAAGGAAATCTGGATTCATGAAATAATACATCCTTATATATATATATTGCCATTTGCTGCAAGGCACTTGTATCCTTTATGGACAGATGAGTATCCCAACAAAACACATTCCTGAGATCTAAAGGCAAGCTTGTGGGAATTATAAGGGCGCAGAAATGGGAAGCATGCACAACCAAAGACACGAAGACCAGAATATTCAGGAGGTTTTTGCATTAAAATGAAGTAAGGGGACTGGTTTTGCAATGAGGAACTAGGCAGTCTATTGATGAGATAGACTGCAGTGACAAAAGCATGATCCCAATACTTGAGAGGCAGCTTGGAATGAGCAAGCAAAGCTAAGCCTGTTTCAACTATATGACGATGATTGCATTCAACTATACCATAGTGACAAAAGCATGATCCCAATACTTGAGAGGCAGCTTGGAATGAGCAAGCAAAGCTAAGGCTGTTTCAACTATATGACGATGATTGCGTTCAACTATACCATTTTGATGGTGAGTATAGGGACAGGTGAAGCGATGGACAATTCCTAATTCAGTAAGATACTTGGCAAAAGGTTTGAACTCACCACCTCCATCACTTTGAACTCCTTTAATTTTGCAATTAAATTGGAGTTCAACCATGGATTTGAAGGGAATGAATTGGGTTAGGGTATCAGATTTTAACCTAAGAGGAAAGACCCAAACAAATCTAGAAAAAGCATCAACACAGGTGAGGAAATATGTATAGCCACCTGAAGACTGAATGGGTGCAGGCCCCCATAGATCACACACAACAAGTTCAAAGGGATGGTGATAGACAATAGTAGAGAGGGAGGATGGAAGTCTATGGGACTTGCCCAGGCAATAAGCAGAACATGAGGCAGTGGGAGGTTTATGGGGGATGGGCACATTGCATAGTTTAAGGACTTCAGGAAGAACTTGGTGATGGGGGTGTCCAAGTCTTGTGTGCCATAAGATATATTTGCTATCAGATATGGTGGTAGTACAGGGCACATATGGATGAGAATTAGGAGTATTAACTGTAGAAACATGAGCAGTAGGAGGAAATTGTAAACCTGAATCAGGAGTAATTTTATTAATATGGGAAACAGGATTACAGGAGGTACAGTTGCAAAAAGCAGCTGAATTACAAGTAGAACTAAGACTATTACAAGTGTTATGACTATTAAACTTGGATAGAGACAAAGCAGGATTAGCAAATTTGCAGAGACCATCAACTCCAACAGTGCCACGAAGAAGAACTTCAGAAGACTCCTGCGATTTAACAAGAAAAACCTGAGGATGAAACTCAAAGAAAACACCCATCTTGTGCAAATTTACTGACACTCATGAGATTGTTAGTGATGTGAGGGACGAGAAGAAGATTGTGAAGCATTAGAGATGAGTTAGGGTGATTGGATAAAGGGAAATTCATGGAACCTACAATGCACAAACCTTGGCCGTTTCCCATATACACTTGTTCAGCTCCAGACAACAAGGAAGCATCAGACAAATTTGAAGCATCAGGCATGACATGGTGAGAGATGGACCTGAATCAGGGTACCACCACTGGTTGCTAAAGCTAGGATCTGAACCTGTGAGAAATGCCTGTGGTTGAGGGTGCCTGGGTGGTGTTGGCCGTGGAGCAGCAGGATATCCAAAGGAGGGAGGATAAGAGGGAGCTCGTGGTGCCACCATGTAAGGATTGAAGGGAGTTCGTGGTGAGGGAAAGGAAGGAGCACCTGAATAAGAGTATCTGTGGTAGCATACAGAGGCATCATGTCCAGATTTATGACATATCTGGCATGAAACCTTCCCAAAGCGACCACCACCACGACCATTTCTACCACCACGTGAACCATAACCATGATTTTCAGAGTTGGCAGTCACATGACTGGTTCCAATAGGAAAATTAGGACTCGAATCAGTACCCGAGATCTCAGTTGAGGGCGGTGTTGATGCCGGCGAAGCCTGTGTGAGATTCACAGTCATAAATTCAGTGAGAACAACTTTACGATTCTTTTCAATTCGCGATTCATGAGCAAGAAGACTCGACTCAAGTTCATCCAACGAACACAGATCTTCTTTGCTATTCATCGCAGCAACAGTAGGATCGTATTCTTCGGGGAGAGCGTCGAGCACAACTTCAATTAGGTTACGAAGAGGAACAGGATCTCCGATCGAAACCAAGGACTCACTAATTTCACAAACACGAACAACAAATTCAGTAATCGTGCGCGATCCTTTAGTCAGATTTCGTAACTCCTCAGATCGGAGTTGACGCGCCTTGGTGGTGAGCAAAGTGTTAAAGTAACGCTGAACTTCAGACCACACTTGCCATGAGTATGTGCAATCCACGAGTTTTGGAAGGAGAGAATCGGAGATAGTAGAGAGCAACCAGGTGCAAATGAGTGCATCTTGTTGTTCCCAATCAAGAAACGCTGGATTTGTGCCGCCGGTAATAGGATCGGCACCGGGAAGAAACCGTGGAAGCACAGGCAGCGCCGTCACGAACCGCTGGAGCTTGTGGCCGCGAATCACACCGTCGATTTGCTGTTTCCATTGTTTGAAGTTCTTATCATCCAGTTTAACTGAATGAGAGGGTATGACGTAAGAAGAGGGAAAAACGCCCTCAGAATTGAACGGTGACGCCATGGAAGCGCTAGATCGAAGAAAAAGCTCTAGATACCATGTTAGAATAAAGGAAAGAAGAAGAAAGATAAGAGGAATTCTGTTATTGTATTCCTTGAATAATGAAAGTACAATAGGTGTCTATATATACTAGCAAGTATAACCGTGACTAATAGTTTGACAGCTCAGCATATCAGATACAACAGAATAGAAGCCTATAACATAATATCTATATCATAATATCTATATCTCTTAACACTAGAGCATGGTCAATGCCTCTTCCGCCCAATTCCCAACAATTCAGAATTTGCATTTATTAAACAAAAAGATAACTTTTAAGTAGAGCCATACAATCTAGTGTAATGATTTGTGAAAATATGCATAACTAACTATTCATGATGGTTCAATGTAAAAAGTAATAACTTACTCTCACTATACTAATCATAATTACTCATGCAACTCTAACAAAATCTTTTTAATATCAAAGAATATTTTCTTTTAAGTTTGCAATGTATTAGATTGTATATTGTATGTTTTTTATTAAACATGTTTATTGTTTAATGAATGTCTGTGATTTACTTGTTAGCGGGGGTCGTTTTAAAATTTGGTGTAATCTTTCATTGCTGTACTTAGTTTTCCTAATATTGATGCAATCTTTCTCATCACTACTGCCACAAAATTAATATGGTTCTGTTGTTGTATTATGCATGTGGAGGTAATAAGTACTAGGGTGAGAATCTGTGAATAAAAAACATTTGTCAAGTATAGTATTCCTTTTAAACTTAACTACTGTTGCATTTCCAAAATCTACACAAGATTATTTAATATGCAGGAAAAGTAAAATAATGCGTATGTATAGTATATAGCTTGAAGACTTTTAAGTTGCAGTCCTGGGGATATATGCTTTCTAATGACTCACTTCATCATGTAGGAAGAAGGGGCAAGCAACCTAGCACCAGATTTACAAACACAGATTGATGAGACACTTGAAGAGATAACCCCGCGTTGTGTATTAGAACTTTTAGCCTTGCCTCTTGATGATGAGCATCGAGCACGGAGAGAGGAAGCTCTTCAAGGTGTCCGCAACATTCTGTGGGCAGTTGGAGGTGGAGGAGCAGCAGCAATTGCTGGGAGTTTCACTCGTGAAGATTTCATGAACGAGGCATTCCTGCATATGAAAGCAGCCGAACAGGTGTTCATTGAAAATTTTGTGCATGTTTTTCTTTCAATTTTCTTTCTCCCCCATTAATTTTTGTTTATCAAGAATTTTCATCTCTTCTTATATCCAATCTTTGTTTTTTTGAAGGTCGAACTTTTTGTAGCAACACCTAGTAATATTCCAGCCGAAAGTTTTGAGGCCTACGGGGTGGCACTTGCATTGGTTGCGCAAGCCTTCGTAGGTAAAAAGCCACATCTCATCCAAGATGCTGATAACTTATTCAACCAACTTCAACAAACTAAGGTAACAAATATCAGGAATGCTCCCTCTCTTTATACTCCCATGGAGATGGAGAAGAGAGAGGTTGATTTTGCATTAGAAAGGGGTCTGTGTGCACTGCTAGTTGGGGAGCTCGATCAGTGTAGGTCATGGTTGGGACTCGATAGTAAAAGCTCTCCTTATCGAAACCCATCTATTATAGACTTTATTATGGAAAATGCAAAGGGTGATGAAGACAGTGATCTTCCCGGACTATGTAAATTGTTGGAGACATGGTTGATGGAAGTGGTTTTCCCCAGGTTTAGAGATACTAAAGACACAAGCTTTAAGCTTGGAGATTACTATGATGACCCCACAGTGTTAAGCTATCTAGAGAGGCTGGAGGGTGCTGATAGTTCACCCCTGGCTGCTGCAGCAGCCATAGCGAAAATTGGAGCTGAGGCTACTGCTGTTATAGGCCATGTCCATGCTAGTGCAATAAAAGCATTGAAGAGGGTTTTTCCTGTTAGCCCCAATGATAAAATCTTGACACATTTAGAAAATGGTGAGAAGGATCATTCAAGCTTTTCTGAAAAAGGTGATCCCCTGATATTTTCAGATCGGGATACTTCAGTCGATGTTGAGGTTTCGGGAATAAAAGGTACTGCTGAGATAAATGATGGAAATTTTATTACTGACGAAATTAAAAATGCAAGTGTGAATATCATGTGTGCTGGTGTAGTAATTGGACTCGTAACTTTAGCTGGTTTGAAGTTTTTACCTGCTAGACCTATTTTTCAAAAAGTGCCTGGTTCAGCAATTGCAACAGATACTATCAATTTAGGTATGGTTTTTTAGAATCATCTACATCAATTGGAGTAATACTACAAATATTTTCTTATTTCTGAGATCGATTCCGTTATCACATATCTGAAATTAGGTTTTTGTAAGTTCTTGGTGTAAGCTTCTTACAATGGTTGCTTATTGTATACATAACTGATTCAACTGCACAGGTCCTGTAGGAGATGAAGAAGTAGTTGAGCAATTACCAAAAATGAATGCAAGGGTTGCAGAAGCTCTAGTTCGCAAGTGGCAACATATCAAATCCCAAGCTTTTGGACCTGATCATTGCCTAGTAAGCTTGCAAGAGGTAAGGAATTTAACTGTTCCTTTAAAATGGAGATGATAGTTAGTAATTACACTCTTCCAGTTTAGTGTGAATATGATCAATGCACTGGTAATCTGTTTTTCTTCTTCAGTGGTGTTAAACCTGACAATTGTGTAATTACATGTCTTGTTCATTTCATCCTCATCCTCTTGTGCAATTATGCATGTTTATTGTTTTTCCCTTTCCTTGAATCCAAATTTGGTATGATGGAATACCATTTAAGCTATGTTTTTTGGGTTTTTTCGCCATGGGGATAAATCATTTCATAAATTGTAAGGGAAGGAGTGTAATTAGAATTTAGAACTGTCGGGGGAGAATATTCTATTTTTGTTTGAAGGGAATTTAAAACTGGTTAATGCATGTGATTTGCTTTAATGGGGTTCTAGTCCTCTCCATTGAAAATCTCCCAAACTTAGGTAACTATTTTCTTTCTCTTCCTGGTATGCTTCCTCCATTCTCCTACCCCCACATGATAAAAAAGCGTGTGTTGGATTTTCATCTTGTCAACATTTTACAGTAAAACTAAACTAATATTTCAGATTAGATTAGGTTGAATGTCAAGTATAAATAACATGAGCCCTTCCATGGAATGTATTGGAAATATGTGCATAAATGGGCAGATTAACCTTTTCTTGTGTATGTAAGTGGGGATACTGAGAACCAAGAAGAAACTTCTGAATAAACTGTTATGGTATTAACTGTGGGTTTTTCTTTCTCTAGGAGAAGTGCTGGTCTTAAGCATTTTCTCTCTCTCTCTCTCTCTCTCTCTCTTTTTTTTTTTTTTACTTTTTGATTGACTACTAATAATCTTGAGGCAGTGTTATTCTTTGAATAATTTATTTGGTTTTTTGGACAAACAATTTATCGACCATCTTTGTATATATGAAGTTTTACTGAAGTTTAAGATCTATCTGCTAGGTGTTGGACGGTGAAATGTTGAAGATATGGACTGATCGAGCAGCTGAGATTGCAGAGCTTGGTTGGTCCTATGACTACAACTTGGAGGATCTCAACATAGATAGTGTAACTATATCACAGAATGGACAACGTGCAGTTGTGGAAACAACTCTGAAAGAATCTATACACCTCACTGCTGTAGGTCATCCACAACATGATGCTTCTAACAGCAGGATCTACACAACAAGATATGAAATGTCTTATTCAGGCTCAGGGTGGAAAATTGTTGAAGGAGCTGTCCTTGAGTCATAATTAGGTTTTTGTAACTAGTAATATATGTCAGGTTAATACACTTGAGTGTCACTCCCTTAAGTCTATCTCCACTGTATTGTATGTACCTATTGTTTTGTGCATTCTTCAAGCACCAATGTAGTCCAGGCTGTAAATACTTGCCGGGTATTTAATCAAATAATTATCTGGTTAGGATGTCAACCATTTGCTTACTTACAATTGTTGGGAAATTTGAAAATGAAAACCAAATTAAAATGATATCACAAATTGAAAAGTGTACCGTGGTCACTGGACAATTAGATCAGCAAAGTGAAAAGTTTACAAGAATTCAAGGATTTGAGGCCAAAGATAATCAACTATGGTGTATTCAAAGCCAAGTAGAGCAAATGTTCAGAAATTTTGTTTTTAATTATAGTTTAAAAGTCATTATTTGAATACAAAGTTGACAGTGTATGCCATCGTATATAATACAGTTTGAACTACTACATTTTTGTTCCAGTATCATTTTTGTTATTCTTTCCCACATAATAAAATCATTAAGATCCAAAATGCGCATTAAAATATCAGTTAAAAAATCATTAAATAGTAGATACATGTATGTGTTAACAAGTTGTTAGTTTCACATGCAAGCATGATTGGCAAACATTCATCATGGCACGTAGCTTGATAATGTATATCGCATGGATATGAATTTTCCCCTCACTCGTCGTCTCTACTAAGCCACTATACTTATGATACACGTTCTCTGCAGTCTTAGGCTTAAAGGCCAAGCAATACCAAACTCAGTAGAAGTTTAGAAACGAATATATACCAAATGTTTATGCAATTTGTTATTCACTGACCCTTCATGATATGATGGTCCATCCTTATGGATCTACAACTTGTTGGTTGCACTCGATGCATATATTGGCCAAAATTCCCTATTTGCTTGGAGACAAAAATTCCCTATTTCTAGATTTGGATAGCTTTTCATTAGTTCCCCATTATGATTGTACTATACTTTTACTTATATATAACAATCGAGTTTTCTATTATGGCTAATGAGTAACAACTTTGATCATATTTAATGAATGCAACTGTTGAAAGTGACTTCTAAAAGCTGTTATAATTAACAAAGATCTATTAAGAATTGTAATGCATATTCTGAGGAAATTTGATTATATATTACGAATGATGTGGTAGGTGGTGTGCATGCCAAAGCTTGCGCATGCAGTGTTAGTGGGAAACTTTAGGGACACATTGGTGTTTGCATTACTCATTGCCACAATGTATTTTCATGTGGGGACAAAGTGAAGATTAAGATATATTAATAAGAACAAAAATGCTGTGTTGATGGCACAAAAGATGCTATATAAATAGATATAATAACTTTCTCTTTTTTCTGTAGCTTGTTAAAAAATGGAGAGATTGAGATTTACTTCTGTTCTCTGCTTAATGATTCTGACAGTGGAAATTGTTGTTAGTTTTAAAGGTGATGAGATGAAAAATGTTACTGTTCAAAGTCAACGACATGGTAATGTTACCTTAGAAACTTTGTCTCATTATAAGGAGAATAAGGAGTTCGAAATAAGAGGAAAACTCAACAATCAAGTTGTGTTCAACGCAAGCAAAGGTGGTTTGTATAAAAGAGGAGGCAGTGGAGGTGGAGGAGGAGGATTTAAATGGGGGTGGGGTGGAGGAGGAGGAGGAGGAGGAGGTGGTGGTGGTGGTGGTGGAGGAGGAGGTGGTGGTGGTGGTGGATGGGGATGGGGAGGAGGAGGAGGTGGGGGTGGTTGGTGGAAATGGGGGTGTAGAAATGAACCAAGATCACATGTTATGAGAGGCATGAAGCATCATCATCATCATCATGATGCATCCAATGAAGAATATAGGTTAGGGGAGTTTGCAGAATGCATAACAAGAACAAGGTGCAAAGGTATGAGGTTAGATTGTCCTCTTCATTGTGGTGGACCTTGTTTCTATGACTGCTACCATATGTGCAAGGCTCATTGTCGCCGCCGACCATGAATGATATGATGTCTCAACTTTTTTTGTTTTGTTTGAAACGCACATACACTAATGCAGACGACAAGTGTAGAATTGTCGGTTTTCTTACCTTTTGACAAGTACATTGCTAAGAAAAAGTATGTTGACATTGTGTGTTTGCTTATTCTGATAATTTAATTTTGGATCAATATCAGTGTTATACATTGTGTTTTTTTCCTAGGTAAACATTGTGTGTTGTTTTTTAAGGGCCATCCTTGTAACCTGTATGTTTCATTAATTCATGAAGTTTTATATTCATAAACTTTCTAGTGTTTTTGCAACTTCCCCACCCTGCATCAAAAGTATCTAGTTCCTTTGGTTAATTAGGAGTAATCAACACTGCTGCATTTGAAACCAAATTGGAGGAGGACCATCGTCTGTATAACTATTTACAACCTATGGCCTTTTTTTGGAGGTAAAGGCATGATGCTCCAACTCTTATTGGTTTCTAAAGCAGCCAAATTTTCTAGTCAATGTTGACATTACAGACAAAGTTTTTGTAGTTGAGAATGAGTTCGGAGTAAAAGAATTTTAAGAATTAAATAAAACAAGACTATAATAGACATGAGATGTTGCTCCTGAGTCAACAGTCCATGTATGTGGAAAATACTGTCAAGAATTGTTAAAATTATAGCTGAAAAAAAAATGAAAATTTGAGAGTATGGAACGCATGCCAATAGTCTCATCAGACTGATCAATGTTAGGATTGGCTGCCTTATTATGATTAATTGTTGATATTGAGAAAGAGAAAAAAAACTGAATTGTATATCACATTCACCAAATTAATGAAAAAATAGTTACAAACTGAAACTAAAAACCAACTAAAGTAAAGGCAGAACTAATTATAACTAACTTACAGTTATAACAACTTAACAAACTTAAAGCAGGAAAGTCACAAATAAATATTAAATATTGAGGGTAACTTAATAGTTTTTTCCAACAATTCTTCTTAAGTAGACTAGAGTATATTAGATCAATCGTTAGTTGGTTCAGTGGTAATTGACGCTGGACTTGACAACTGTGATTGAGAGTGGGCCAAATCGGATAATACCGGTGATGAAAAAAATGTGGTAATAGAAATGTTGACAAATAAATGAGAATGATGCATTTTGGTGTGACTTTTACTATCTACATATGGTAGCAATAATGATACATTCTTTCATTAATGTGCAATAAGGGAGTTGACAATGAAGTTTCAATTCTTGCCTATGAGAAAAATTAAAAATTCAAGTCTATAGCACAGAATATACTACCCATTCCTGTTTTGGCTGTATATGAACCAACTCACTCTAACTTTCTACAACAAAAATTTATCTCTATTTAAAATTCTTCCTAATTCCTTTTCCCCACCCATTTTTAATTTCTTAAAAGACATTGATTTGAATGCAGTAACATTTTATATGAAATTACAGACTTAAATTAGGGTCATTATATTTTTCTTCCTCACAAATGTTTAATTGAGTATGTCTTAACTAGTACTCATTTTTATTTATGTATACTTAGAAGGGTTTATTGTGGATGAGATATTTTAAACTGATTTAAAAAGAAAATTGAAAAAAAACATTTTTATATTTTTTAATATAATTTAGTGTCTTTGACATGTAATGCATAGAGGAGAAAAACAAAACTACATAGGAGAGCGACAAAAAAGTCTTTAAAATTTTAAAAAATTTTGTTTTAAAATTTTTTTTTGAACGAGGGACATATGATTCTTAGAAGAGAAATGAATCATCTCGTCGAATATAACTAAAATATTGAATTCAATTATTTAAAAATTTAAAATTAATTATATAATTTAATTAAATTTTTTATTTTAACATAACAAGCTAAAAATATCATATTATTTTAAATAATTAAGTATTAAAAGTTGACATGAATTTTAATAAGTGAATGTTCCCAAATTATTGCATTGTTGAAAATAGAAATGCTTAGACCATTTGCATTCTTCAATAGTCATTATTTTGGCAGTTGTATATGAGCCCTAAAGAATTAATTGAGAGCAAAACTAATGCAAATGGAAATTTTGAGAGTCTGAATTGACTAGTACTATGTTGTTTGCTCAACTTTGAGTTTATAGCACTGGCATGATGCAATTGCACTTAGTGAAGTAGCTCTCAAAACAAAAATAGAAACAAAATAGTACTCTACAAGTGGAAGCCATAACAACCAATTTTCTCCGTTTAAAACGCCATGAAAGCATAATAATCCCTAACATAAGTATTCTTACCCCACATATGAATTTCATATGTACAGACAAACCCATATGCCATCATCTATCTATTCAAGCCCTTTTTACTACTCCATCCAATGGGCCTCCCTCACCTCTGTCCCTGATATCCATCACCATCAACATATCCATATGTGTGAGTGCCATCATCATCTACTCACCATCACCTCTTATTTCATTAATTTTTGTATGTCCTACATCCAACAATGTAACCAACGCCCCCTGCCCAATAGGACCAGTACACAGTTCCTACACGTTTTGTGCCTCAATTCAATCAAAATGAACTATGCAGCTACAGTTGAATATGACTCATACACATAGAAGAGAGACAGGGGCCGAGCTAGCATAACAATTGCATTTGTGGGGGAGGATAATTATGAGTGGCAAAACGGATCCATCGGTCGGATATATTTATTTTGTCCTCATTTTTGTGTGGAGTGGACACAAATTTTAGATTCATACCCTCTAATATATTCTTTCCTTCTGTCTTATTTTTTTGTAAATTTTTGTGGACACATACATTTGCATAATTTTTTCATAATTTTTAAGTTAAAAAAATACACATGCAGATCCGGTTCACCCTCATTTATTTGAGTGGCAAACAAATTTTAGAGGAATGTTAAAAACATCTCTTTCAACACTCTCAAATACTCATTTTTTATTGTGGAATATCGAACAAAGGTTGATGTGTTTACGATAATTCTGATAACTTTCTTAATGCATGTGTGACTTGGGATGTCGATAATCTATCCATCATCGAAGCGGAAGCCTTAGCACTCAAAGAAGCAATCTAAAACGCTATTGTTATGAATCTTGATCGAGTTATTTTCGAAAGTGATTCTCTTCGAGTGGTGGAAGCCTTACGCTAAAAAAAAACATGTGCGAGCCCCTTGTGAATAAGTAGCTGATTTGTCCTCTTCATTCTATTTATTAGTTTGTTCCTAGAATAAGGGAAACAAATCAGAAATTGATTTGTTCTAGCTAAATGTAATTATTTAGTGTAATTACTTGTATAGCCTTGTAACCTCTATATATACAAGAAAGAAGAATGAGAAAAGCATTAAGCCAAGAATTATTGACATGGTATCAATAGGCTTTCGATCAAACCGGTTTTAGGTTAATCTTGGCTTTATTCAGCGACATCCCACTGGATCGCTCTTGAAATTATCTCGGTAGATCTCGGTTCTCGATAATCTTGATAACCGTTCTTCGGATCCATAGGGATAGTGCTCACAAGTTGTAATCTTGGCAATTTCGTTGTTATTTGATAGTCAAGAAAGAGCGGCAAGAATATCTTCATCTAAGGCATATTCTATTTCTCAGCAAACAATTTTCAAGCAGTTTTATTTTTATTTTTTGGGATTTATTGTTGGTTACAAGTGAAAAAATAAGAAACATTTGTTGATACTTGTAACGTGTAATATCTTCCTTTTGCAACATCTTTGTTACTTGCACTATTGTTTCCATGGCTTCCAAAAAAGAACAAGATCATATTTGTGTTTGTTTTACCAGAAAGAATTATCCTACTTGAGAAATTCAGTTCATAATGCATGTCAAAGAAAATAAATTATGGAGTCATTTGGATGTTATCTCTAAGGCACCGACAAAAAAACTGCTCTAGAAGACTGGGAATATAAAGACGCTCAGATTATCACTTGGATTTTCAGTAGTATTAATCCTCAAATAATTAATAATTTGCGCTCCCTTTCCACAACTCAAGAAATGTGGGACTATTTGAAGCGTATTTACAATCAGAAAAATGCGGCCAAGCGTTTTCAGTTTGAGTTAGAGATAGCTAATTACAAACAAGGTACCTTGTCTGTTCAAGAATACTATTCTGGTTTTTTGAATCTGTGGACATAACACTCTTCTATTATACATATTGATATTTCCAAGACTTCTCTCGCGGTTGTCTAAGAGGTCTACAATACAAGTGGGTGTGATCAATTTCTCATGAAGCTTCACCCAAAATTTGAGGTTGTCAGAGGAGATTTGCTGAATAGGAACCCTGTTCCTTCCTTGGATACTTGTGTTGGCGAACTCCTTAGGGATGAGCAGCATCTCCTTACTCAAGACACTATGTCTCATGATGCTGTCACATATGAGCCTGTGACGGTTGCATATGCTGATCAGAGTAGAGGAAAGGATCATGATATGCGACAAGTCCAATGTTTTTCTTGTAAACAATTTGGACATTTTGCTCGCAGCTGCAGTAAGAAGTTTTATAACTATTGCAAACAGCAGGATCATATCATATCTGACTGTCCCACGCGTCCTCCCCGACCAACATAACGACCAACCCAGTCATTCCATGCCACTACCAACTTTGCAATTGGTTCTTTCGGTGTTGATGCATCTAATGGTGGTGTTCTATAACCTGACGTGATTCAACAAATGGTACTTTATGCTATTTCTGCCTTGGGAATTCAGAGTAAGTCTTCTAATGTTTCTCAACCATGGTTTCTTGATTTTGATGCATCCAATCACATGACGGGTTCCTTGGAATACTTTCACAATTTACATTATTATAATGGTAATCAACAAATTCAAATTTCTGATGATAATAAGCTTTCTATCACTGATGTTGGTGACATAAACTCTAACTTTCGTGACGTGCTTGTATTACCCAGACTTGCTTCCAACTTATTGTCGGTTGGTCAATTGGTGAATAACAATTGTAATGTTAATTTTTCTCGTGTTAGTTGTGTTGTGCAGGAGCAGATGTCAGGGAAGGTGATCACGAAAGGGCCTAAAG